AATAAAGGGGATGATTATCCTAATCCTATAATGATTAGGATAACTACAACATATGGATAAATACAAGGGAGGATAATGACAAGTCTTGGCCGCCTGGTATGGATAAGGATAAGGTGCTTGTCGCCTGGTCTTGGACTGAAGCGAGACTGATGTGGTCTGGTCCATTTCCGGATATGTCCCAACCATCATTTCTCAACATCTTTATATTATTCTATTAATAATAACAGAGTCAAAAAAAATATTTTCCAATATAATTTTATACTGCCTTTTGTATAACTAGTTAGGTTATATAACTAATAGATCGTATCATTTCCAAGTAAATGGGTTTGTTTTGATTAAAGGCTTTTATAATGATCCATGGGAAATAAAAGAGTTACAAGCCTATAAAGACTATACAGCTTGTTGGTAAGTGCCATTACATACCCTACAAAGTTACATACCATAAGTTTTTTGTAGAGCCCAATGAGAAACCCTAAGAAATAATGGCCTTAAGAGAGAAGCCCGGTAGTGTTAAGTGATGGAATGAGCCTAACAGAGAAGTCAGATGGAGCGTCTTAAGTTTGTCGATGATGATCAAGAGTGAGATGACGATCCAACTGCATCATTCGAGAAAATATTCCAAGTAAATGGTTAACCAGATTATTTTAGCTGGATTTATCAAAATTACAATACGGTTTGACGACCGACGCTAAAACAAATTATAGCATCACGATCTTTTCAATGAGTAAAAGATACGAAGACAAATTTATTTTGCAAATGGGCATGACAGTAGAGTTGGGTGCTGTTAAGGCAACTTAGTTTTTCGATCGAAATAAAATCAAACAATAGTCACCAGCACCTCACATATATACAAAAGTAATACTAATAATATTAACATTATTCATTTAAATATTTTTTCGGGGGTATTCAGTGGTTTAGGACAGTAATCGTCTTCATAGCCTTAATTAACTAAACAGCTGTGTTATAAGAATCAACCCATGTGGTATGTCTGTGATTATTATATTGAAACCTGTTCTACATATACATAATTCTTCCTATTATTAGTCACTCGATAATTACCTATGGTTCTACTTTTTTTCTTCGCTTTAATTTTTTTTTTTAAAGGAGACCAGAGAAGCACTTATGATCTTCTTAAAGAAAATAATTGATATAAATGGATTCTTACAAGATTTGGTTGTATTATACTCATTCCATTATATTTCTTAAAAATTGTCATTTTGATAAATTTCACAAAGATTAAGAAAACTATGTAATAGACTAATATACCATTATATAATGTATGCTTAATTAAATAAAATTAATTTAAAATAAAAATCCCATCGTTCTATTTTTAAATAGATGTCATTCTACCATTTTTAAAAATTTCGTTTATATAATTTTCACACATAAGCTATTTTCACTATTTTAACTAATCAGTAGATATTTTAAAAATTGGTTTTAGAGGACTTGTTAATATTTTTTATTTAGTTTTTAATCTACGTAAAATGTAGAAAGATATTTTTTTTATAGTCACTAAATGAATATGCAACTTCAATCGAATGTGACTATATATGAATGAATTGAAGAGGTGCAGGCACATTCAAGGCCGGTGCAGGCTGTTCGCTGCTAGAGTCTAGAGAGGTGAGTCATAGCTCTTGTCTCGGTTAATTTAGAGGAGAGTCTTTACAGACCGTTACGTCAATATCATCGGTCACGTTTAGCAGCTGTGTTTTACTACTAAACTTTGACGACTTTTAATATAGCCTTTAAAATATATGCACTGTCATATGATTATTTTTCGTTCTTTTTATTCCCTCGATGACAAAAATTAAAAAAGCTTTGTCCCTATTTGCTTCCAACGTGCATTAATAATGTGTTGGAAATTAAATACTATTATTGTATATCCAACTCGTATTAGCTAGTTTTTCTTTTGTTATCAGAAGACGGAGATTGTAAGGTGAGAATAATATAAGAATAACTATAAATATTAACTGGATATTTCAAAATTAACTGATTCAATCTAATAATTTTTCATTAGAGTTAAATTATTGAATTTGAAATATCTTAGTAGTTTCTTACTATTTTTTTTGATAAAGTAGTAATTTCTCAATATCATCCTTCCTTACATGATCCCATTTGTTTTAAAATATCCCATCATATCTTTGCAAATGGAATTCTCTAAAAATTAAAAATAATATTCTTGTTTTTGTCAAGAAAAAATAAATAAAACATTTGTTATTAGTTTAAGTAATCACAAAACTTTTGAAAAACATAAACAACCTAAGGAGAAACTAGCCCTTTGTCAAAAAAATTAAGGAGAAATTAACGTAAATATGATAATCTTTTTAGGGAGAGAAAATCACTCAATAGAATTAATAACTAACTAGGATGTTACTTTGATGTATATAATATGTTTTGTTAGTCTTAATTATTGTAGAAATCGTGCCTAGTAACTAGGATAATGGAAAAGCATATGCACATGCTGGTAGCAGACAGTATTATTATGAGGAACTAAAATAGCTCAGTTGTTTCATACGCAGAGGCATAGAGCTTTCAATTCGATGTACATAAAGAGGAAAACGATATATCAAAATTTATCAATAAATTTTGACCTAAATTATTGTTATTAATATGACTACTACCACAATGAAAATTGAAATGACTAAAATTTATATATAATTAATTGAATTAAGAACATTTTGTTTGTATTAATATTATCTCAAATGAAATATTCAACCTTTATAGCGATGATATTTAATCTTAAACTTTTTTCTTTGTAGATTGCGAGGTAATTTGGATCTTACAGCCTGACCAATCTTTCATAACACTAAAGAAAAGAACTTGTTGTTTAAACCCTTCTTAACATAGATTGAACCCAAGAAACTGAAGTTCCACATAACCAATGGACAAACACTATGTTGGTTATTTTAAATCTTTTAATCAAACTAGTAAATTTCATGAAACTGGTCACAGCTTATATCGATTATCAACTTCATTTACTTTACTCTGATTACTATTTTATTTTTGAATCTCATTTGTTATTATTTAATGTAATAATAAAAATCTAAGCAATACCGTATCATAGTTCAGTTAACTAATTTTTTTTTTCTTGTCAACTAGTTAACTAAATTAACTAGTCAAATGATGTTTTTGATTAGTGGAGTAATAAATGGTAGGAATTAAAAAGACGATCGTCACAGGAGCAAAAAGGGTGAGAGAAATGTTTTTAAGCAAATCTTGTAAATAAAAAAGAAAACATTAAATAAAAAAATAAAAAAATGGTTGCGGTGCGTCTTCTCCCTCCTCGCTCTTTGGCAGAGTACAATAAACATTAAAACAGCTTTCTCTCTCCTCTTCTCCCATTACTCCGATCTGACTCTCTCTCTCTCTCTCTCTCTACTCAACCTCCCATTGGCCGAGCTTGTTTTTGATTCTCGGAAACCCTAATAATTCCTCTAACTTCGAAGCACTCAAAGTCAAATCTCACAAACTGGTTCGGATGGTGAAAGTGCCGGTAAAAAAACACAGCCATGATTAAAATGATGAACGGACGAAACGACGCCGTGACAGAAGATAACGACGACTGTTTCTACGAGTCTCTCGATCGCGTCCTCTCTTCCTGCTCTTGCTCGACTTCCAACTCAGACTACGACTCGGACAACATCCCCGATCCGATCCACGATCCGACTCCCTTCCCCCTCCCCTCCGGCTTCGAGCTGTGGAAATCGGAGCCCGAATCCGTCACCGAGAGACGAACCAGGCTCTTACGCGGATTAGGACTCAGCGACGAGCCGGATCTCCCTCCCGCGAGCCGCCACCGTAGAAAGTCCATCTGCAGCTCTCATTTCGCCAGATCGGTTTCATCAGACGTCCTTATCTCAAAGCATAAAGGCCAATCCGATAATGGTAAGCTTCGATCTCGCTCTTCTGTAAATAAGCTCGATGGTGTTGATTTGGTGAGCAAAGAGTCGATAGAGAATGGCGGCGGAGATGTTGTTCTGGAGGAGCAGATGTGCACTATTAGGAATCTAGATACAGGCAAAGAGTTTGTGGTGAATGAAGTCAGAGAAGACGGAGTGTTGGAGAAGTTGAAGGAGGTAGGCACTGATCGACAATTGACTCTTGAGGAGTTTGAGATGTGTGTTGGGACGTCGCCGATAGTTCTTGAGCTGATGAGGAGGCAGAATGTTGAAGATGTTTGTAAAGAGACTATGGATTTGAGTGGTACTGTAAGTGGAAGCAGAGTAACTAAGCATAGACGGAGAGGGAGTTGGCTAAAGAGTATAAAGAACGTTGCTAGTAGTGTGGCAGGGTACAAAGAGCGACGAAGTACTGATGATAGAGATTCATTGTCGGAGAGAGGAGGTCACAGGTTTAGCTCTGCAACTGATGATAGCAGAGATATGTTGTTTCATGATGACCCTGAGAGAGTTAAGGTTAGGCAGTATGGGAAGTCGTGTAAAGAACTCACAGCGCTTTTCAAGAGCCAAGAGATTCAAGCTCATAAAGGGTCGATTTGGTGCATTAAGTTCAGTTTGGATGGGAGGTATCTTGCTACTGCTGGTGAGGATTGTGTTATTCAGATTTGGAAAGTTTGTGAATCGGAGAGAAAAGGGGAACTCTTGTCGGTGGATAAACAGCAAGAGGATGGTAGCATAAATTTGTTTCTTTTGGCAAATGGGTCTCCAGAACCAGCTTCAATGTCTCCGATGAGAAGAGGGAGAACATCTTTTAGCAGAAAATCAGTGAGCTTGGACAATGTTTTGGTTCCAGAAACAGTCTTTGGTCTTTCAGAGAAACCTGTGTGTTCGTTTGTAGGGCATTTGGATGATGTACTTGATCTTTCGTGGTCAAAATCTCAGGTTGGTATCTTATTCCTGAGCATTTTGTTTTGCTATTCACAACCATTTATTTTTCTTTTGGGAACCAAACTTGTGTATTCATTTAACCTTGCTACTGCAAAGTATTCTTAATTGTTATGTGAGAATCTGCTTCGTTCAGCTATTCTTCTTTAACCAGATGCACTAATATTCAAGACCCAATTTTTTTTTCCCAGCACCTGCTTTCCTCTTCTATGGACAAGACTGTTCGTCTATGGGATTTATCTAGCAAATCATGTTTGAAAGTCTTCTCGCATAGTGATTTCGGTGAGTGAATATAGCCTCTTCTTCCTCATCAGTGACCATAATTTACTTTTGAGCTTAGTCTCTAGGAAATTAAGGATACATAAGGAGAACAAATTAGCCGCTTGGAAAGATTCGCTTGTCAATGTATTTGTAATATAAAATTTTAGTCTCAAGTGGCTCTTCCATTTCACTGCAACATAGGAAGAAAAGATAATAATCTATATGTTGGCTATGTAGCATAAGACTTTCTCTCATCTGGTTTTTGTTCTGGACACAGTGACTTGCATCCAGTTTAACCCCGTGGATGACAATTACTTCATCAGTGGATCCTTAGATGCAAAAGTTCGGATATGGAGTATTCCTGATCATCAAGTTGTTGACTGGAATGATCTTCATGAGATGGTCACAGCTGCCTGCTATACACCGGATGGTCAGGTACACCATTAAGTTTTCTCTTTGTAACAAATGAGTTCGGGGTAAATTCAATCACGAAGTACCTTAATGAAGCTCTTTTGGTTTGTAAAGGGTGCATTGGTTGGTTCATACACGGGGACTTGTTGCTTATTCAACACACATGGTATATAAACTCATATTTCTTTCTTAGAAGTCTAAACTGTTTCTACATCTTTTTGAACTTAATTTGATTTGGTGTATTTAGATAACAAATTGCAGCAGAGAAAGGAAATCAATCTGAAGAACAGGAAAAAGAAATCCAGTCACAAGAAAATCACTGGTTTTCAGGTAAAAGCTAAAACAAGAAGCTAACACCGTTCTGTTCTTTTGATCTGTACTTTTACTAATGTCTATTCTCGTTAACCAGTTTGTGGCGGGAAGTTCATCGGAAGTACTTGTCACATCTGCAGATTCACGTACACGTGTTGTTGACGGTGTTGACCTTGTTCACAAGTTTAAAGGTAAACAATACTAAGCTAAAGAAACTCTCTTCTTCGTTCTTATAACTCAGGAAATAGCTCAACGTTCTTGTGTGTTTCTCTGTTTGGTCTTAAAACGAAGCTAAGAGCGTTAGCAAATTTCGATTTTGCAGGATTTTGCAACACAAACAGCCAAATCTCAGCCTCACTTACATCAAACGGGAAGTTTTTAGTCTCAGCAAGCGGAGACTCTAATGTATATGTATGGAACTACGACTCAGACTCTCGTGCCGGAAGAAGCAAACGTGTCACAGTCACAAACTCATACGAACACTTTTACTGTCGAGACGTCTCTGTAGCCGTACCTTGGCCTGGCAAAATCAGTAACAACAACAGCCCTGTCGAGTCTCCCATCACAGCCAATAACCCTCCAACACCTGTCAACGATCCAATCAACAACAAAACCGTCACCAACGGTATAATTTCTAGCGCCACAAACCGATACTTCTTCGATAGAATCTCGGCCACGTGGCCTGAGGAGAAACTTTTGCTGGCTGCAAAGAACCGAGCAAGAACTAGCCCTCGCGTGAGCGTGGACATGTCTAATGGACCAGTCAAAGCAAAACCGAGTGCTTCGGCTTGGTCTATGGTGATTGTGACTGGCGGTTTACGAGGCGAGATTAGAATATTTCAGAATTTTGGATTACCGGTTCGTCTATGAAGCCCAATTATGGAGAAAGTTTTACAAATCAAAAAGCCCAAGGCAAAGTGAATTTTTTTACTTAGTAAAAAAATACCTTCTCTAGTCAATAGTGTATAGATTGAGAGAAGGTTGGTTCTTCCAATAACTCTCCTTTCTCAGCCTCTTTTATTATTTTTTCACATATATTCTCTCTAAAATTCAAATCTCTAGCAGATATAAATATATTTATTCTAAAAGAAAAATTATATACCACAGCATTTTATTTGTATATGAATCAGGTATAGAAATGAGTATGTTCCGTTCATATGGCAATTCACACTTTGTATTTGCTATTAGGCTTATCTATACACGTAAATAATTTGTATAAAAGTATTTGTTTATCAGTTCATCATTTCAATGAACAAGTTTATCCTCCGAGCAGATTGTCCATAACAAATTATAGCATATTTTTGTTTCATAGCTCTTCTCCCATAAACAGAGAGATGGGAGACCCATGAAACTTGTAAGTAAAGGTATGTAGTGAGAGGAAATCTAATTCTCGTATTCTCATTGGCTGTAAGAACATGACGTGGTCGATACTTCATCTATAGATAATCTTATTACATATATCCTCGGAAAAACATCTGTGGGGACCACCTTTCACATGTCCCAACTCGTTTTGGTAAGTGAATCTATATAAAGGCACACAAGCACACACATTTATACAAACATTACATTTACTCTTTAACGTGACAATGGCCCTTCAAGCTGCTTCTTTGGTCTCCTCTGCTTTCTCTGTCCGGAAAGATGTAATTTAATTCGTTTTTAGCTTTTATTAATGATCTCCTTAACTATGTTCTATCTCATTGACTAATTAGCATATTTTAGTTGCAGGGAAAATTAAATGCTTCATCTTCACCATCATTGAAAGAGTCTAGTCTATTTGGTGTTTCACTTTCAGACCAAACCAAAGCTGATTTTGTCTCTTCCTCCTTGAGATGCAAGGTACATTTAATATAATCTCATTACTTGTAAAAGTGTGAGTCTCGTTCTGTAAAAAATAAAAGAACAGTAGTATCAATTAAGATTATGTATTAATACTCTGCAGAGGGGACACAACTTGAGGAATAAAGGAGCAACAATTCGAGCTCAAACAATCGCGACTTCAACCCCATCAGTCACACCATCTTCCTTAGACCGCAAGAAAACCCTTAGAAAAGGAAACGTGGTCGTCACTGGAGCTTCCTCGGGGCTAGGTTTGGCAACGGCAAAGGCATTAGCGGAGACAGGTAAATGGCATGTGATAATGGCGTGCAGAGACTTCCTCAAGGCCGAGAGAGCAGCTAAATCCGCAGGGATGCCTAAGGACAGCTACACGGTGATGCATTTGGACTTGGGATCTTTGGACAGCGTAAGGCAATTCGTTGATAACTTCAGGCGAGCCGAGATGCCTCTCGATGTACTGGTCTGCAACGCCGCCATTTATCAGCCAACGGCTAGTCAACCTACTTATACTGCTGAAGGGTTTGAGCTTAGCGTTGGGACTAACCATTTGGGACACTTTCTTCTCTCAAGATTATTGATTGATGACTTGAAGAACTCTGATTATCCATCGAAACGTCTCATCATTGTTGGATCCATAACTGGTACTCTCTCCATTTTTTTCCTCATATACGTTAATAGAACATTTTTTTTTTACATTTCTATACAAAAACATCAATAATCATTCTACCTACTTACAATATGGCCAACAGAAAAACAATTTAAATGTTATAAAAAATTCTACATTGAAAACTTCATATAGTTTGGAATAAATAATTTTAGGAGGGAGTATTAGCCAGTGATTTATGTACAGACTACTTAATCTAAACCCTAGATTCAAGTTCTAGCCGTTTTGTTTCTTCTTGAACAGGAAACACTAATACACTGGCTGGTAACGTACCTCCGAAGGCGAATCTTGGAGACTTAAGGGGACTAGCTAGCGGATTAAACGGGCTAAACAGCTCGGCGATGATAGATGGAGGAGATTTTAACGGTGCAAAGGCATATAAAGACAGTAAAGTCTGCAACATGTTGACAATGCAAGAGTTTCATAGGCGTTTCCATGAAGAAACTGGCATCACTTTCGCTTCTCTTTACCCTGGTTGTATTGCGACGACAGGTTTGTTCAGAGAGCACATTCCTCTTTTCCGTTCCCTCTTCCCTCCTTTCCAGAAATACATCACCAAAGGTTATGTCTCCGAGGCTGAGGCTGGCAAAAGACTTGCTCAGGTATCAAAAGTTTATGCTTGTCATGCAAGAAACCTTTATTTTGGATTATTGCACTGTTAGTGTATTCAACCAATGTATTTATTTGTTGAAGGTGGTGGGTGATCCAAACTTGACGAAGTCGGGAGTGTACTGGAGCTGGAACAAGACCTCGGCTTCATTCGAGAATCAGTTGTCTCAAGAAGCTAGCGATGTTGAGAAGGCTCGTAGGGTTTGGGAAGTTAGCGAGAAGCTCGTAGGCTTGGCCTAAGACTTGATTTGAGTATGCTTCTCTGTGTTTGAAGCTTAGTTACAATGAGAAACAAACAAAATAGGAAACATCGATTAAGCCTTAACCAACCTTGAGTTTGTGGTGCGTAATTCTATTTGTTGACAAACCAAATATATCCCTTTTTAAAAGCAATTAGATTAACAAACTTTTATTTAAGCTGTTCGATATTAAGATCACCTAGTTGATCATTTTCTATATTTAGGAGTTCCAAATGCGTATTTCATCAAGTCACGTGTCTTAACTGGACTGAAAATCTTTGGTTAGATATTGAGAGACTGTTTCCAGCCCTGAGATTTAGGAGGCTATAAACGATTTATAAAATATTTCAACTAATTTTTCTAAAATAATTGGGAGGTCTAAAAACAAAATTCGAGAAATCTTATATCTATACTATTAAAAGTATATAAGTTTTGAAAAATCGACTTATACAAGTTACTATATCTATTCATTAATGATAAACTGGTCATTTAATTAATATGTACATTGGTCTATCTATTATTTCACCTATTATCTATCTTACAATATATTACTCTAACCATAATTTATTCTCCTTTATTCCATATAATGTTGCATATGTTTTAGTAATCATAATTTATTCTCATATAATCCATATAATGTCGCATATGTTTTAGTATAGATATATAAAATCCTTCATATTTAATATACAAACCTATCAATCTATACTATTAAAAGTAAATACACCCTTAAAAAATCGACCGATGGAAGTTGTCTGCACCCTCATTAATGACATTTTGGTAATTTATTTTTTGGACTTACATCTATATATATATATATATATATATATATATATATATATATATATATATCGATTTATAATAAATCATATCATATATTAAATATACCCGATTTATTCTCTCTTTTCCCATTAATTACTCTAACCATATTCCATATTATATGACATACATTTATATTGTGTTATAGACCCTATATTAGACGATTTCAATCTATAGATTTCTAACATTATAATTTTTTTTGGTTGACATTTTTTGGTATATACATCATATATAGACTTTATAAACTCATATTACTCTAACCATGATATGATGCTATATTTCATATATTAATATTTTCATATAGTTGTACTACATTTTATATTTTAAAGACTATACTTTATAAACTCATATTACTCTAAACATGATATGATTTTATATTTCATATATTAAGATTTTCATATAGTTGTACTACACCTTAGATTTCAAAGACTATACTTTATAAACTCATCTTACACTTTATATTACACTAGGTATGGACCCGTGCGATGCACGGGTTTTGATTGATATTTTAATTTCATGAAAAAAAAATATTGCAATTGTAGGAATTTTAAAAAATATTTTATGAACTTATATTTAAGGAACAAAAATTTATCTTCCGCATAAGTTTTCGTTGTATTTATGTTTCAGTAATCATATCGCATATATATATTAATTAACAACTTTATATTTAGGGCCACAAAAAAAAGTTAGATCCAAAAATTAACGGGAATCCGAACCCCAGAAAATATGTAAATTAGAAGGAAATAAAATGATTTAAAAGTTGAATTAAGCCAATCGAGTTGATAGCAACGTAATACACATTTTATGCTATTAATTTACTAACTGTATTAACTTTGTATGTTATTTTGTTATTCAAACATATTCTAATATTTCTATTGTCATTTGGTAATGTTTCTGTTGTCATTGTAGAATTCCAAAAACATTTATGCATTTGTTATCATCTACATACTTTTGTTTGCATGGTACACAATTTTTAAATAGTATTTTTTAAAGTTCGTAATATAATCAAAATCATAATTCAAACATTACCTAGTCTTAGAAAATGCTAACAAATAAATTACACCTTGATATATCTTGATCAAAACACTTGTCAATTTGTCATGATGGTATACTATAACTGGGGCAATAACTTACCTACATGAGCATGGTAATTATTTCAAAAGAAAAATCAACATCAATTTTATTTTAAGAATTAAAAACACACGAATATGTGAAAAGAACATGCAGAAAAACTCACCTAATAAGTTTCTTGTTTCTTTTTTTTTTTATGTTTGGTGACAAAATATGACAAAAACATGAGTCCTGAGAGAGCTAAAACTTATATATATATATATGTGAATAATTGTATATAATGCCAAAACAAAATGTGAATAATAGTAGTTCTTTTGGTTTATGTTTTTTTAACAGAAAACTAAGTATTTAAATAAGAAAGTTGTTTATTCATTACAAATTTTTGAAATAATTACTCTACAAATATTTATTTGTTTAAGATTTGAATAAAGGAAAACTACTATTAAACACTTTGTTAAAAGCTCTTATGTTTAGATTATTTTATAAATCTTTCTTTGTTTACAGAATTTTTCAAAAAATTAAAACAAATTTAGAAAAAATATAACTATTACAGAATTTGTAAAATAATTAATCAACGTTTTTTATCTTATTATATCTATCTTATTAATCATGAGATATTTTTAACTACGATTAAATTTTTTTTACTATTAAATCAAATTCAATTTCTTTTTAAAAACTTTTTTTTATTATCTTAGAATAGATATTTTAAATCATGAGATATTCTAACACATCTCACAAATTAAAAGAAAAAGTACTATCAAATAATCTCTTACAATCATCTTTTATTTAGGGTTTAAGAAAATAAAAATTAGTATTAAATAAATTATTTTACTAATTTTGTTGTTGTTTATGATTTGTAAAAAGGAGAACTACAATATAAACAATCTTTACTTTTTACTATTAACTAAAATTAAATTAATTTTCCTAAATTATTTTTACTATATCAGTATATCTATTTTTAATTATAAGATATTTTAACACTTGTCACAATATTAAAAGGAAAATTCCTATCAAAGAATATTTTGCAATTATTTTTGTTTATGATTTTGAATTAAAAAATTACTATTAACTAATATTCATAATTACTTTTTAACAAAAAACAATTATTATCTTAATCATGCGAGATTCTAACACTTCTCACAATATTAAAAAGAAAATTACTATCAATTAATATTTTACAATCATCCTTTATTTAGGATTTAAGAAAAGGTAAATTAGTAATAACTAAATTATTATACAAATTGTTTTTTAGGGATTTGTAAAAAGGAAAATTACAATACAACCAATATTTACTTTTTACTATTAAATTAAATTAAATTACTTCACCCAATTTCGTTTGATTATATTAATATAAATATTTTTTTATCACAATATATTTTAACACATGTTAGAATACTAAAAGGAAAATTTCTGTAAAATAAAATTTCACAATTATTTTCACAATATCAAAAGGAAAATTCCTATCAAAGAATATTTTGCAATTTATTTTGTTTATTATTTTAAATTCAAAAATTACTATTAACTAATATTCATAATTACTTTTTAACAAAAAAAAATTATTATCTTAATCATGCGAGATTCCAACACTTCTCACAATATTAAAAAGAAAATTACTATCAATTAATCTTTTACAATCATCCTTTTTTTAGGATTTAAGAAAAGAAAAATTAGTATTAACTAAATTATTATACAATTTTTTTTTAGGATTTCTAAAAAGGAAAATTACAATACAACCAAAATTTACTTTTTACTATTAAATTACTTCACCCAATTTCGTTTGATTATATTAGTATATATATTTTTCTCACAATATATTTTAACACATGTCACAATACTAAAAGGAATTTTTCAATCAAATAATATTTCGCAATCATTTTTTTTTAGGATTTTAAAATGGAAAAGTACTATTAAAACTTTTCCCAAATTCATTCTATTATATTATTATATATATTTTTAATCATAAGATATTTTAACACATGCCACAATATTAAAAAAAAAGTTCCTATCAAATAATATTTTGCAATAATTTTTGTTTAGGATTTAAAAATAGAAATTTACTATTAACTAATATTTATAAATAATTTTTAACAAAATTCGTTATCTTTTTAATTATAAGATATTTTTACACTTGTCACAATCTGAAATATGTAACTGCCACATGTCACAATCGTGTTAATTAGTAACTTTGGAAAACCAAGCTTTATATAATAAGATATATTAAGATTTTGTTATAGTTGTAGACATTTGGTAATGTATTATATAATATATTGTCTATATCGACATTTCCATGAGTTATCTTCCTATATGAAACATTTTTAATATGTCTCACTATTTCTATCATTTATTTCATACCTCAAAACCATTTCAAAACATTTGAGAATGGAGAATCCATTCAAATATCCTTCATTTCATGTTTTTTCTCCATTTTAATATATTTGAGAATGGAGAATCCATCCAAATGTCCTTCATTTCATGTTTTTTCTTCATATATGAAATATGTTTTCATGTCTCACTAAATTTATCCGTATTTATAAACCATAGTTAGACGACATATAGTGATATCAAATATGTCGATATATCATCATTCTCATGGTAACATTTAATGGATGAGATACGTTTTGTTAAGAAAGTATTGCAAAAACTATTTTCTATGATTATTTTCATACTAAAATAAATGAATTGCTTCATCTACAAGTTTATTGATTAACCATAATCAGTATCGTGGTTAGCTATTCTTTGTTTGAATTCCTTAAATTTCAGTAGCTTACCGTAGTTGGATTACCATTAACTGTTAAACTTTCTATCTAATTCAAAATATCTTCAAGAAATATTCCTTATTCCTTGAAAGATATATTTTTTAAATTCGTTTAAATATTCTGCCCTACATTTGCGTAACCTAAATGTATATCGTCACTACCTATTATAAATATAGCCTCTCTTAACCACTATATTCATCATTCTTTGAATAACCTAAAACAAAAATGACAAATAATTTGCAGTTGTCTTTCTTGAGCGATATAAAACCTAGGAAGACTGCATATCGCATCCAAGTCAAAATCCTTCATACATGGAGATATTTCATGAAAGACATAGGGGAGACCATGGAACTAATTA